GGCCCCAAAGGTACAGCACTAGTCTCTATCCTACAACCATTTAGGGACACACTTTGGCTGCTTCTGCTCGCCACCGTTCATGTCATCGCTCTGCTCGTGTGGATTCTCGACCATCTGAGTCCTATGTATAAGTAAGCAAATTTGTGTGTTTGAAAAAAGCTACTTAAGAGAGCGCGATTAATATGCTCTAATTATGCAATTCACTGAATGTTCACTGGTGATACTGTTTAGGAATAATCATTTATATCATGTAGCAACGTAATGCACTGTATATAAATAGTTGCTGTTTGACTGTGTAAGTAAAAACGTTGCAACTTTGTGCCTTTACTGCTGCCAGAATGGTTGGAGGTGATACAGATTCTCTCAGCATCTCAGAGTCTCTATGGTTCTCCTGGGCTGTAATTCTTAACAGTGGACTTACAGAAGGTATTTCTGAAAAAAGACTGGTTTCACCTAAAGATGAGTGGTGTATCATATAGTGTTGTAAATGAAAAAGGGAAAGAATATGACTTTTAACAATAATAATAATGGTAATTTAATTAATCCATTTGATGACATGCTGACAGGCACACCAAGATGTCTAAGCGGTCGAGTTCTGGGCATCGTGTGGGCGGGATTCGCGATGATCATGGTGGCTTCCTACACGGCCAATCTCGCTGCTTTCCTTGTCCTTGAGAGCCCCATCAACGACATTTCCGGTATCAACGACGCCAGGGTAAAAATGAGGAATTAAGGAGAGCAGATATTTACTATGGCGAGAGAGAGGGAGAGGGAGGCAGAGAGAGAGAGAGAGAGAGAGAGAGAGAGAGAGAGAGAGAGAGAGAGAGAGAGAGAGGAGAGAGAGAGAGAGAGAGAGAGGGAGAGAGAGAGAGAGAGAGAGAGAGAGAGAGAGAGAGAGAGAGAGAGAGAGAGAGAGAGAGAGAGAGTGAGAGTGAGAGAAAGAGAGAGAGGGAGGGAGGGAGGGAGGGGAAGAGAGAGAGAGAGAGAGAAAGAGGGAATGATAGAGAGAGAGAGAATGACAGGGAGAAGGAGAAAGAGAAAGAAAAAGAGAAGAAGGAGACGGAGAAGGGGAAGGAGAAGGAGAAGGAGAAACAGAAGGAGAAGAAGAGTGAGAAGAATGAGAAGAAGCAGAAGAAGAAGAGGAAGAAGAAGGAGGAGGAGGAGGAGAGAGAGAGAAAGTCAAAGAGTTTATTTCATTAATTCTAATGGTTCTTTTTACATAGATAATCACATCATACAGAAATACAAAATTGTGTGTATTTATGAATCAGTATACATGTGTCATATTGTCATTTTTGTTGAACTTTTAAACTTTTTGATTCGTTTATATGGAGAGTTATGTGGTCATGCATATTAATATTGCCTGTTGCCATCCTTGCGGCAGTTATGTAGTTTTTGTAGTTTTCTTAGATGAGCCCCATATGTTGAAACAGTAGTTTATAATGGTGAGTGCAAAGGTTTGTACAGTAGTAATTCTCATCTTAGTGGCGATTTTATTTTTGATGTGATTTAGGAGTATTAGTGTATCCATTCCTTTTTTGTAAATGTTATCCTTGTGTGTCTCAAAAGTCATGTGTCGATCTTAGAATACTTATTGATTTTTAACGGAAATACTTGGTTTAATGTGACAGCCTTCAAATTCTATAATTGTCTTTGAGGAGATTTTGGCTATGGTTTGTCGACTGCCAAGTAAGATAAATGGAGTTTTATCAGGATTTAGTCTGAGGTCACTGTAGTCAAAATACAATTGCTTCTATAAGAGTCTGTTAAGTATTTCTTATCAATTCATATAGATTGATTACAGGGGCAGCGTGAAGGAATTGAAAGTCATCGGCATATTGATGAAGGAGACAGTTGTTTGCAATGGTTGATAGATCATTAATGAATATAGTTCATAAAATTGGGCCTAATGTGGAGCTGGTTTCTTGTCGATAGATAATTTCTGAACCAATAGTCATTAATTTCATGATTTTTCATTATGTTAAGTAAGATTTCATGGCTGACACTGTCAAATGTTTTTGATAGATTACACAGTGTGAGTAGGTTTAATTGATTTTTGTCTATGTTATCATAAATTTTGTTTGTGATTTTTAATAACGCTGTTTCAGTGGATAGCTTATTTTTAAACCCATGCTGCGTTTCAAAAATGAGGTGATTGGATTCTAAGAATGTTGATAAATGATTTGCAATATTTTTTTTTTGCACTCTAGGTATCACTGGGAGTAAAGTTACTGGGCGATAATTATTCATTTGTTTTGTATCTCCCGATTTGAAAACAGGTGTTATGATCCCATGTTTCCAAAGTGATGGATAGGTACCAAGTCAGATCTGTTTGATATAATGACGTCTAGTAGGGATAAATTGTTTCTGTGATCCTTGTAGGATTATTTATTATCTGTTTTTCTTAACGATCCCAGCTAACAATGCATTTGATTTATTTAGGTCGTCATGTAAATCACTTAAGAAAAAAAAAATCATTGAAATTTCTTTATAAACATTGAGGTAGTCAAATGATTCATTTGACTATATAGCATAGACTGTACCAATAATGAAGAAAGGATACATACTTCTTTGCATGCTCTCCACCTCACCCTGCAACACATGTATAAACACGAAAGATTTTAATATAAATTAAATTGCTTGACATTTATTGATGATGCCATGTTTCACTAATGTAAATGATGTCAATATTTCTCTCCGTAATCATCATTTATATTTCTTCAAAATGGCCAAGGAGGGATGGTAAATCGATATATTCTGTTTTGATTGTATTGTATGATTTGACCGTTGGTCTTATTGACTGTGGCGGCGTCAAATAAACTGGTCGGTTTTGTACTTTTTTGTTCGGAAATACTTTTACTTTACATTTAGTCGCATATACTTTTGCATTTGATATGTTTTCAAACTTTTGAACAAGGAAGGGTCTTTTTCCCTTTTCTGGAGGTGACGGTGACGAAACCTTCCTCGTCTTGCGTGTTAGAGGTAGAGGGAGACAAGTGTAGTGATTGACCTCGCCCGTCTTTCGACAATCAGTCCAGGAGGTAATAAAGTACACTAAAATCTCTCACCTCCAACTCTCCCACAGGCATAGATAAAGGTGGAGCCGTGCGTGGCGACACTTTGCATTGTAATTTCAATGGGCGTTGTGGAGGCGGCTTTGCTGCATCGAAGCCTTCCCCATGCGACCCTCTTCTACAATATGGCACGTACTCCGGCCGGCAACGCCACCTCCAGGCCCTAATAAAACATTGTTTATCTCGCAAGAGAGGAGGATGCTCGCACTTTCACTGTACCTACGATGACGCTGCTGAATTTTACCAAATAGATTATTATTTATTACTGTTTTATCAAGCATTCCAACCTAGAGACGATAAAACACCAAAGTACATCTATTTTTACATTTTAATATTTTATATACACATTATGGATTACTGAGGCCTATTTGAAATCATAAAGCTCAACAATTTCAATTTCAAGTTTTATTGATTTATTTAAACTTCGTATCAAAGTATTTTATTCGCTCTTGATCTTTTAGATATTTTATGGTTCGTCTACAAAGCCAGTTAATATTTAAAATTAGTTATTTTAATCCTGTTTCTAAAGTATTCTATTGCATATACCAAGATTTTAACATTATTTTGAGTTTTAAGATTTGTTCTGTTAATTCTAAAACAACTATTAGCTCCCCTTTTCCCGCCCATAAGGTGACATGGGAAAGAAGGTAATACAAGAGGGGGGATTTTGTTAGTGGTCTGCCTCACTAATAACAGTGTGAGGAACCCCGGAATGGGTTTTCCCTGTCGAAATTATGGGCACCGTCCCTCGAAATTGTGGTGGCAGGGTGAAAATGGGGGTGAAGGGAGGTAGTTTTTAATGTTAACAGAATCAAAATGGTCTTACCGATTTTCTTCAAAATTGGTTATTTTGCTAATTTTAGCATTCTACATCTTTGGTACATTTGTGGAAATTACCCGATGCCCCCCTCAAAACCACATCCGTCTCTTGTGTACCGCTTTTGGCCCACACTGTTGCATACTTTGCAATAAAAAACAATAAGCATATACATCGATAAAATCCAAACTTTTTTTTGGATTTCGAAAAAAGCTCGCGTCAATTTCTTTGGATTTTATCGATGTTTATGCTGATTTTTTTTCATTGCAAAGTATGCAACGATGTGGGCCAATAGCGGTATACAAGAGACGTATGTGGTAAAAAGTTTTTATGAGGGGGGCATTGGAGAATTTCCACAAATTTTGTACGAAAGATGTAGAATGCTAAAATGAACAAAATACCCAATTTTGCCACCACAACTAAGAGGGACGGTCCTCTTAAGTGGTCGTGGTGATTGTTTAACATAGGAAGTAAGAAATAATTTGTAAAGTATTGGTTCGGTCAAAGTGACCTAAAGTGACCGGTGCTTTACGCTTATCTTCGACTTTTTATTCGTTTTTTATCCAACGTTCTATTTCACTGTTTTATCGTTCATGTTTTATCTTCATTGTATTGTTTCATTTTATGTTCGTTTTTACCCAGCGTTCTATTTCAATTTTATCGCTCATGTCTTATCTTCGTCGTACGGTTTTATCGTTTTTTTTTCATTATTTGTATTTTAATGTTTTAAGGTCCTTTTTGTACTACCGTTCATTTCACTATCTTTGTATTTGTTTCTGTTTGTTTTATCTTTTGTTTTATGTGCTTTATCGTTTGTTTCATGTGTTTGATTGTCTTTGTCTTTAACCTTTAACTTTGAATATACTGTTTTATGTATGCTTATCTTTAACAACGCCCGAACTTACGAAAAGGTAACAGTGCGATTGTTGATGAGATAATACAAACTACTCATACTGAATGGCAATTTGGTTCCAGTGATAGATTTTTTTTCCTTTATTTTAATCAAGGTGATCCTCTGCTTAATTACGTATATGCACACGCCTCTCCTCAGCTCATACCACGCTTAGCAACTTTTGTATTCTCGCACCAAACATACACCACACACACATACTACACACACCCTTTCGCTCCTTTCTCTACACTTGTCTTCTACACTATCATTTTCCCCCCGTACACACTACGTTCCCATACGTTAACAAGATGGGTAGTGCCAGTGACTCCTCTTTACAGATTTGCGAGGTATAACTGTATTCAGCTTTTGCTACACAGGCACCTGGTGATATGTAGCGTCGTCCCAAGGTGGTTGCATGGAAGATTGTTTTTTTTTTTGCTCTTTCTCTTGCTGTTCTTGATATATATCTGATATAGCTTTTCGGTGTTATTGTGTCGATTCCTCGTTTCTGATGCCACAGAAAGAGAAAGAGAAAGAGAGAGAAAGAGAAAGAGAAAGAGAAAGAGAAAGAGAAAGAGAAAGAGAAAGAGAAAGAGAAAGAGAAAGAGAAAGAGAAAGAGAAAGAGAAAGAGAAAAAGAAAGAGAAAGGGCAGGGGGTAGAGATAGATAGATAGATAGATAGATAGATAGATAGATAGATAGATAGATAGATAGATAGATAGATAGATAGATAGATAGATAGATAGATAGATAGATAGATAGATAGATAGATAGATAGATAGATAGATAGATAGATAGATAGATAGATAGATAGATAGATAGATAGATAGATAGATAGATAGATAGATAGATAGATAGATAGATAGATAGATAGATAGATAGATAGATAGATAGATAGATAGATAGATAGATAGATAGATAGATAGATAGATAGATAGATAGATAGATAGATAGATAGATAGATAGATAGATAGATAGATAGATAGATAGATAGATAGATAGATAGATAGATAGATAGATAGATAGATAGATAGATAGATAGATAGATAGATAGATAGATAGATAGATAGATAGATAGATAGATAGATAGATAGATAGATAGATAGATAGATAGATAGATAGATAGATAGAGAGAGAGAGAGAGAGAGAGAGAGAGAGAGAGGGGATGAAGAAGGGGGATAAGGATGGAGAGGAATAGGGAGATAAATGAGTGAAGGAGAGAGGGGAAGAAAAGGAAAGAAAGGGTGGGAGAGAGAGAGAGAGAGAGAGAGAGAGAGAGAGAGAGAGAGAGAGAGAGAGAGATAGATAGATAGATAGATAGATAGATAGATAGAGAGAGAGAGTGAGTGAGGGGGAAGGGGAAATTCATTCACCTTTCTCTACAGTTGCGCAATCCAGTCGAAAACTTCACCTTTGCCACAGTGAAGGGGTCGGCCGTGGACATGTTCTTCCGCCGCAAGACCGAGTTGGCCAATATGTACCGTGTCATGGAGGCGCATAATTATGACACTGCTGACCAGGCCATCCAGGCAGTGAGAGACGGGTATGCCACAAATGGTCTCATATGCCACGAATGGGCTCATATTTTTAGCTAACTTAAATTATAAACAGAAAGGCAATGGTAGATGCATAATATATGAGCTAGAGATGACCTCATTCCACAACGAATATCTTAAAATACCAGTGGTACTTTCGGTAGACAGTTTATATAACCTAATGAATTTACTTTGTTAGGTTACTTTCCCTTAAAATTTAGGGTTTGCTAACAATATTCCTTTTCGGTTATATTTATTACTAACGATAAGGCAAGTATTTCAGATATATTTCACACTGATCCAAATCACTTTGATGAATAAATATTAATGTAAAGTTTAAATTTTGCAGCAATCTGCATGCTTTCATATGGGAAAGCTCCCGCCTGGAATACGAGGCTTCACAGGACTGTGATTTAGTGACGGTCGGAGAGCTCTTCGGCCGCTCGGGTTTCGGGATTGGATTGCGGAAGGGCTCGCCTTGGTCAGAGAAAATAACCATTGACATCCTAGAACTACATGAGAGTAAGTAGGATAGGATACGTTGCAAACACGAAGATTGCTGAAAGGTAAGAAGATAGAAGAGAAGGACGAAGAAAAAATAAAATTATATAACAAGAAAACGGTTTGAAAATATTATCGGCAATCTCTTTCTTTTCTTCATTAATGAATAAAAAGTACTACGGATGCAATACATACTCACAATTTCTGAATATAGAATTTCCTTTTTTGATTGGTATAATAAAAAGACCTAAAATATCCACTTATCAGTGGCATCGGTTTGATCAGGTTGATTTGTCAGTACCTTCCACTTTATACAGGAGGTTTCATGGAGAAATTAGACAGGTCATGGATCTGGAATGATCATTCTCCTTGTCAAGATCTCTTTGGCGAGGACTTTTCCAAGCGTCTCGGCCTGAAGAACCTCGAGGGGATCTTCCTCATGGTAGCCGGTGGCATCTTCTCTGGCATCGTCCTCGTCTTCATCGAGATATTGTATGACCGCTGTAAGAGCAAACACGGGCAGGCAGCCCCACAGAATCACAGACGGGGCAACAATGACGACCAGCATGACGCAGAGAATACAACAGGCACAAAGGTAAAATTGGCAGATCTATGACTAACTTCGTTTTTAGGATACATGCAATGTGAGTGTGGAGTATTGAAGAAAACGATGTTTAAATG